TGATGATGATGATGATGATAAAGATAACATCAAGAATGATAATGATGTCAGTAAGAATATTGTCGGTGATGATGATGATGATGACGTCACTATGACGCCGATAAAAGATGAAGTTTATCCGCCTAAGAGTGACGAGGACGACGACGATTTCAATCAACGTCATCGCTATCGTGGTAATGATGGTGATAATGGTAATGATAATGATGGAAATGTCAATCATCATCATCAACAACAACAACCTGGTGGTGATGACGATGATGATTACAACAAGCGATACGACAGCCCACGTCCATTCTCCCCCCCAACACCATTATCTACTCACTCTCCTAGCATCGCTGATGATGACAATATTGATGCTGCTGCTGCTGTGGCCGCTGTCACCACTACCACTGCTGCTACTGTAGCTACTTCTGTTGTTGCTGATACTGGTACGACTGATGATGCGGGTAATCAGAATGTTAATACTGGCTGTAACGTTAATGATGTCAATAGTAATAGAAGTAGTAATAGAAATAGAAACCCTAACCCTAACCCTACTACTACTACAACTGCAACCATTGTGGCTACTGCTACTGCTGCTGCTGCTGGTACAAATGAACCGACGTTTCAAGTACCAAAGTTGATTCCACTTCATAAGACAGTTTCATTGTTTATCAAGGACCTACCTGCTACCACTACGGTCAAGGAGGTTGAAGACGTTAGTGGGGTGTGGTTGCTTCAGCAGTCGGTTGGTTGTTTGGTTGATTGATGAACAATTTGTGTACAGTAATGCCTTGTGTCTTGCCCTAACTGACCAACCAATCACAAACCAGATCTGCAAGAACTACCCTGGCTACATGCGCCTGGTCCTTCAGGACCCCATGCCACCGCACTTCACAAGAAGAGGCTGGGTGACCTTTCAACCTTGGGTGAATGTCAAAGACGTGTGCTGGAGTCTCATTGGTCATAAGGTTTGTCGGGTCTATGTGCCCCGATTGGCTGAATTTAGCTTTGTTGTTTTGATTTATTTATAAGTAATTTAGTAGTTGTGATTGGTTGGTTGCTTGATATTTATATTTATAGATTGGTTGGATGTGTAGTCGTGTAATTTTGTTTGCTTGTCTGGCTGGTTTGTTGATTGAATAATTGCTTGGTTGGCTG